CGAACAGAATGCCCAGGTCAATCTGCTTCACTGCAAAGTCGGTCCTTCAGCTCTGTGCCACGTGGCTTTCCCCGCACAGCCATTTGCTCCTTCCTTCACCATTTCAGATGCTTTTTGTCCTTCAAGACCTATTTCCGGTTTCCTTCCTCCACTTAACTGATTTTACTGAGCACCATCCCCATCCTCTGTGGAGCTTTTTCACACTGATTACCTTCTTTAAACACCGCTGAAGTCTTTTAAAAATTAAAAAAAAATTTTATTGAAATTTTGTCAGTTACAATGTGCCAATTTCTGGTGTACAGCATAATGTTTCAGTCATATGTATACAGACATATATTCATTTTCGTATTCTTTTTCATTATAGGTTACTACAAGATATTGAATATAGGTTCCCTGGGCTATACAGTAGAAACTTGTTGTTTATCTATTTTATATATAGTAGTTACTATCTGCAAATCTTGAACTCCCAACTTATCCCTTCCCACCCCCTTTCCCCCTGGTAACCATAGATTATTTACTATGTCTGTGAGTCTATTTCTGTTTTTTAGATAAGTTCATTGGTGTCTTTTCTTTCTTAGATTCCACATATGAGTGATATCATATGGTATTTTCCTTTCTCTTTCTAGCTTATTTAGGATGAGGTCCATCCATGTTGCTGGCAAATAGCATTACTTTTTTATGGTTGAGTAGTATTCCATTGTATAAATATATCACAGTTTCCTTATCCAGTCACCTGCTGATGGATATTTAGGTTGTGTCCATGTCTTGGCTATTGTGTATAGTGCTTCTATGAACATTGGGGTGCATGTGTGTTTTCGAATTAGAGTTTCCTCTGGATATATGCCCAGGAGTGGGATTGCTAGATCATATGGTGAGTCTATTTTTAGTTTTTTGAGGAATTTCAATACTTTAACACCTCTGAGTCATTAAAGTAGGGAGCAAATCTTATTAAGAATAGATCTGTACGATTCTTTAAAAGTTTTCAGTGGATGTATTTTGTTTTCTCTCCAAAGTTTTTAAACCATGTCCGGGTCAGGATCAAGTCTTCTGGGTCCCCATCTTCTCAAACAGCACCCAACACGGTGCTGGGCAGATGTGTCAGGAAGCCCCTGACTCCTAACCCATCCAGTGGGCTGTAATTTTAAGGAAGAAGAAGTGCATGTGTGGATCTGATAAGATCTGACTGATAAGTGGAGAAGATGCCCTAAGAGTGATGCTCAGCTATGTTTACCATTTAAATCCACGGCGGCAAGCCAAGATAACTGTTGCAGTCTGTGGACAGAAGTTCATGAAGATCTTTGCTTGACAGGTCAGGGTAAAAGGTCTCTTTCTTTCAAAATATGTGAAGGGGCAGGAAACGTGTGCACCAGGTGTTTTGTGTTCATGGCTGCCTAGGAAAGATAATTCTGTCTGCTCAATAAGAACATTGTGCTCTACACACCAGGTTGTTTTTCCAGCAGCTATTTTCTGCCTATAAAAATGAGCATCGCTGGCTCTTAACTTCTTTCTGCAAATCCCTTGGGCTACAAACAATAACAAAAGGTATCTTATATTTATACAAAGCTGTCCTCAGAAAAGCTCAAGGACCTGAACAGAGTTTGTTTTTATATATGAGTTCTTATATAATCCCCAAGGGGGAAAGGAGCAGAGGGTGACAATTGAGTTTGGAATGTTGTCAGTCCCAGCAAACAAAACGGAAAAGTAAGGCCCTACTGCAGGACACGCTGACGGTCATGGCAAGGACAGGAAGTCCGTCTTCCTCACTTCCTGTGCAGGGCACTGCGCCCTGGGCCACACTGCCTCGTTAGAAATCCGAGAACCTGGAGGAGAGGACAGGAGGGGGATGCGTGGGAGAGAAAGCCCAGCCACACCGGAAGGGATGCTGCCGCCTCCCTGCCTGCAGGGACTGTTGTTCCCACTGGTCAGGGCTCTGCCGCTCCCAGAGTGAGTGTCCTTGTCCTTGGTGGAACGGATCCTGGGGAGAATTTTCATCACCCTCATTAACAGGGACAGCTGAATCACAGTAGATTTCAGAGGTCTGGGTGGTGTGGGGGAGGAGGGCCATCTGAGCAAAGGGTATTGTGTAAATATTTATTGCACACTTGGATACAGTGATCACTAAGGCATACACTCTGGACTCAATAAGTGCATCGTACACGTGCAGGAGAGACACACAGGATGAAAGGATCTAAGAGTGCCAAGTGAATACAATAATGGAAAAGCAGTTACTTTTGATTGTGAATTTGAGTCAGGACTCCATGGGCCTGGTAGGGGAGCACTTTGGCTGGAATTTGAAGGATAAGCAGGAATTTATTTTTATTTTTGTTGAAATGTAGTTGATTTACAATGTTGTGTTAATTTCTGGTGTACAGCATAGTGATTCAGTCATACATATATGTATATTCTTTTTCATAATAGGTTATTACAAGATATTGAATATAGTTCCCTGTGCTATACAGTAGGACCTTGTTGTTATCTATTTTATATATAGTAGTTTGTATCTGCTAATCCCAAACTCCTAATTTATCTCTCCCCACCTTTTCCTTTTAGTAACTATGTGTTTGTTTTCTGTGTCTATGAGTCTATTTCTGTTTTGTAAATAAGTATCTTTTTTTAGTTTCCACATATAAGGGATATTACGTGATATATTTCGTCTCTTTCTGGCTTACTTCACTTAGAATAACTATCTCTAGGTCCATCTATGTTGCTGCAAATGGCATCATTTCATTCTTTTTTATGGCTGAGTAGTATTCCATTGTATAAATATTCCACAACTTCTTTATCCAGTCATCTGTCAATGGACACATAGATTTCTTCCATGTCTTGGCCATTGTATATCATGCTGCTATGAAGGAATGGTTTTAAGGGATATTGTCTACACTGCATTGAGGATGTAGCTCTCTTAAAATCACCTGGGGAAGCTTTCAGGCCAGTCCCCATCCCTAAATAGTTGGATTCAGTGATCTGAGTGTTGCCTGGGCATTAGTATTGTGGAAGGGCTCCCAGGTGATTTTTCTGAACAAATAAGATAGACAACCACAGAAAGAGCATGGGCTTTGGAACTGGACAGCTTTGTTCTAACACCTGGTAACCTTGGACTAGGCCCACTGTGGGGCTCCCAAAACTGCACCGTTTCTTCCCACTTCTGCCAGTGCCAGTGAAGAAACTCTGCCATGGGAGAGTCCCTCCCCTTTGACAAACTTTCCTTGACTGAAAAACCTTAGATTGGGAATCAGGAAATCTGGACTCTACCCCAGCTCTGCCACTGAGGTGCCACATGAGTGTGCTGGGTCACATACAGAGATAGAGCAAAGACACAGACACCGTGCTAGGTACTCAGTGCATCTCCAGGTGTCAGTTTCCCCATCTGTTGAGGTTTTTAGGGCAGTATTTATAGGTCATAAACTCTATTTGACAGGCCGTGACCAGAATCATTTTAAAAGAAAGATGCAAACCATAATAGAAAAATAGAGTGCACTGCATAGAAGAGGGCAAGTCTTGTGACGTGAAGTTTTGTTTCAGTTGTCTATACGTGTGTCTATGGGGTTGTAACGTAAAATTCATGTCATGCTGTGGGTTGTAAGTTAAAAAGCTTGAGCGTGCTCACTGGTGGTACATTGCTAAAATTGGAAAGACACAGGGAAGATTAGCATGTTCCTTGGGAAAGGGTGACGTGCAAACTCAAGAAGCATTGAAGATTTTTTTTGTAATATTATGTGGTTTTTTAGTACGCTTGAAAGCAAGAGTTTGAGAAACATGGGATTGGATGCTCTCTGTGAACCCCTTCCTTCTGCTCTGTAGCCAGTAACTACTCAAGCCTACAGTGAACTCACTTTTTTGGTAACGTCTTTTTACTTACCACCATGTAATTCTGCCTACCATTTATGTTTTTAAGAGGGAGGCAGGACAGTGTAGTGATTAAAAGCACCCTATTGAGTTAGATAAGCCTATGTTTGAATTTAACTTCTTCACTTACTAGTTGAATGACCTGGAAAATATGCCCAACCTCTCTCAGCCTTGTCAGTCTCAGACCACACCTAGGACATGCAATGGTTATAAGATTAAATAAGATGCTATGAAAGTCTTAGCACAGATCACCTTGTTCACAGAAAGTGCTTGGTGTAAGACAGCAATTATTATCTGACCTCTGGTCCCACCCAGATTTTAAGTACAGTCTGCAATGTAGTGTCTGGCATATACATGATCATAAATACTTTGCATGTAGAAAACCAAGGATTCCAAACTCAAGCAGCCGCTAAAGCTGGAAGGCAGCCATTCTCCATCAGCATGCCCCATTACCATCCAGGTCGTGGGAGGAGAGGCAGGGCGGTCTGTGTATCCTCTACCCACATGTCCCCTTCCCTCTTTTCCTCTGACATGAATGGCTGGACCTGGGAAGGCAGATCTTGGTTGTGATTTGCTTCAAGGACCAAAACAACTGTGACATTTCAGTGCCATCAAAGCCAACAGACAGATGGAAACTCAAGATCAGCTGTCTTACAAACATCTACCTGAGAGGGTTTCAGACAGAACCAAGAGACAAAGAAATGAGGAAGAGCTGGTGGCCAGAACACTGAGAAAATGGGGGTAAGATTCAGATATTACAGCAGGGAAAAAATGACTATCATCCAACAGTCAGCAAATAAGCAACTCACTAGGTCCTATTTGCCTCATGAATAGTCTGGGAACCAAAGTGTTGTTTTATAAATGATTCATTTCAGGAAATACTCACTAATCAATTACTAGGGCTTCTGTGTAATAGTTTCCCAGATTTATAGGTGGTGATCATGTGAACTGGATCATTGACTCTAGAATGAGATAAACAGCAATGCTGGTAACCTAATCTGCTTACTCCAAGTAGCTACAAAGAAATTAGCTGCCGTGAGTGGAAGCCAGCCCATTACGAAGAGTGAAAAGAAACCCATTCATCATGAGGGAGCCTCACCCCCACTGAGGCTCCCTGGAGCGTTCAGCTAAGCTGAGAAGATGCCGATGGAGAAGAGGATGATGACCCATACGTAGACGAGAGGGGACAGACGAGCGGAGGGGAGGGAAGTCTTGTGAGATGGCATGTGAGGAAAAAAATGGGCCTTAAAATGATAGAAATGATGAAAGCACAGTATTCCAACGACTACACAGATAGTATTGCAAAGAATAAGACTGTTCAAAGTAGCACTTGGTGGGGAGGGTGTAGCTCGGCGACAGAGCACATGTCTGGCAGGTACAAGGTCCAGGGCTCAATCCCCAGCACCTCCATCAAATAATAAATAAATAAGCCGAATGACCTTCCCCCCAGCAAAGTTTTGAAATTAAATCAAAACGTTAAAATTTTACAAAAGAAAAAGAAAGTAGCACTCAACGCTAGCTTGTGTTTGTTTGTTTTGTTTTTTTTTCTGGAAGAAAATTTGGTTTGTACTTGTACCGTGAAAAAGAAAAGAAAATGTATGTGAATAATGTAGCCCCACCTAAAAATACGCTGCTAACACAATGGTTTTTCAGGAAAAGAAAAGGCAAGGATGCCTGGAAATAGCTGCATCTAATCAGCCCCCATCCCAAGCAATCAACTGAAGTCCAGGAAATTCCATATGTAACCAGAAGAATAGACATCCTGGAGCTTTTTGCCACAGTTAAGATTAGCGGAAACAGACCCCCATCAGCTCTAGTAACAAAGAAGAATTAAAGGTGAAGAAACTGCTGTGGGTCCCTGTGCCTCCCTTCTGGGAAGGTGGCGGCTGTGGGGGCAAGAAGGATGGGAATGAGGACAGAGGCAGCCGCCGTGGTGGTGCCGGCAGCCTATTGTTCTGAAACCAGCCCTTCAACAGCAGCTCTGAGCAGGGAACGTAATGAAAACAGCAGTGGCTAGGGCTCAGCTTATCCTCCTGACTTATCCTAACAATTGTTAAAAACATTTGTTAACATAGCAGTGGTTTATGATGAGCGCTTTCAGGGTCTTGTTTAAGAAATCCTTCCTTACCCAAACGTCATAAAGATATTCTTCCTGTATTTTCCTCTAAAAGATTAAAAACGTTCCCTTTCACAATGAGTCCCTCCTTCTCTATGGAATTGAAAGCCACAAAAAGCACAAACCAAAGAGGAAAAGACGAAAACATTTCACTTCATTAAAATTCATAACTTTCACTTGCCGAAATTATCATAGAGTAAAAAGATAAGCTGCAAACCTGGAGAAAATCTTGACATCACACCTGACAAAGGACTAGGATGCAGAGCATATAAAGAATGCCTGCAACCTGTCACAAAATGTCCAAATATCATGATAAGGTAATTCACAAAAAGAAATATAGATGACTGGTCAAGATAGTAAAAGATTCTCAACTTCCTTAGTAATCAGGGGCATGCACATTAAAGTCACAATTGAGATATCATTTTAAATCCACTAGATGAACCAAAAAATTATGAAGTCTGATAATACTAAGTGTTGGTGAGGCTGTGGAAAAGCAGAATCATATACTATGGTTGGGCTTTAAATAATACAACTAGGCACTGTCTAAGGCAAGTGAAGATTATATCTCTGTGGCCCAGCAATTCCACTCGCAGGTGTGTATCCTACAGAAACTCTCACACAGGTTCATGTAAAAGACTGTTAATAAAAAGAAGCACAATCCATATTAGCAAAAATGCAAATGAAGCTCAGCAACATTGTTTGGGGATACCTACATTGTGGGCTACTATTTTTAATTAATTATTTTTAAAATTATTTTTTCTTTAGTGGGGCTACTGGGATTGAACCCAGGACCTTGTGCATGCTAAGCACACACTCTTACCACTAAGCTGCACCCTCCCCCGGGCTACTATTTTTTAAAAAGCAAGAGATGACAAACACAGCATTCAGGAAAGTGGTTATTTTGAGGAGAAGGCAGGAGGATGGGAAATGGGGAGGAGGACACAGCTCGTGTTGATGGTACTGTTCATGTTGGGATTCTTCTGTTGGCCGTGGCTTTGTGTATATTACACATGTTCCACTGTAAGCACAGAATATTACATAATAAACTGCTTTTAATTTGTTTTAAAAAAGGGTGAACAAAGAACAAAAATCTCTAAGGACTCAGTGCCAAGGAAAACATGGGATCTTGGTAACATTAGTCTTACTAAAATAAGGTGGGAAGAGGGGTCACTCAAGAAGTGATGGATTGCTCTCTGTCCAGGAGGGTCTGCATAATTTACGTGGCCCTGGAGGTCCTCCCAGAACATGGTTAGCTTGCCCAGTGACCAGGACCTGTGCCCAGGGGTCACACCCTCTTGCTCAAGTTGGCAAGTGGCCTGGGAGAGCAAGTGATGATCAGTTATGAAAAAAATGCTAAAAAAAAAAAAAGCCATGCCACTTAGTCCCTGAATGTCATATGTGGCTGGATGTATTTTAGATAATTTCCCATGCAGAAAACTGAGGGCTGTTCTGGGGCAAGGCTTGTTGGTCTAACATTGGGATATCCCATTTTCCACCTTGACTGCATGAATTTGACATTGACCCAAAGCTGTTTTTTCAACGGTTGGCATTTTGAATTGTTATTTGAAGCTCTCGATACTCGGGTCTTGGCACTGCTGGACTTTGTAACCCTAGCACTACTCAGATAGCTGCAACCCTTTTTTGGTTGTTATTTCTATCTTTAATATATTTGGGTCTTACCTACTCTCCCAAAAGGATTATAAAGTTAACCAAATGGCAGGATTTTCTAAAGCCCTGTTTTGTTCATCCTTGCTGCCAAAAACTTGGCAAAATAAAGCCTTAATAGGTTTTTTATTTTGAAAGAATTATGAAGTCACAGTAAACTGCAAAAATAGTAGAAAAACCCCATGAACTCTTCACTCAGTTTTCCCCAGTGATTACATCTTACATAACTATGGAACACAGTC